TGGGATAACGATGGAGCATCCTGCTCCTGGCTCCCTCCTGGCTCTGCCAGGTCCCACAGATGTCACTGTCACCCTGCCTGTCACCCAAAAACGGGGAACAGCCAGGCTGCAAGGGCACGAGGTGTGCCACGAGCCTCCTCCGCTGCTTCCAAGGGAAACTGGGGAGGGAAAATCCAACTGAAAGCCTTTTCCTCCCTACCTGTGACTTCACATCTGCCCTCAGCACAAAACTGAGCTGAGCTGAGCAGCCCTGGAGAGCCCTGAAGTTGTTGGACATTCCCCAAGGAATGTTGGACATCTCCACCAGACTCTGCAGAGAAGTTTCCTGTGAGGCTTCAGCAGCAGAATTCCCAACTCTGGAACCCTGCTGAGGTGGCTGAGGGATTCCTCTTGGGATAAAGTGCACTGCACTGTCAGGGTACATGGAATTATGGAATGGTTTGGGTAGGGAGGGAATTTAAATCACCCCATCCCATCCCTGACAACTTCCACTCCCCCACTGTCCAACCTTGGACACTTCCAGGGAGCAGCCACAGCTTCCCTGAGCATCCACAACTCCTCTGTTCCTCCAAACCTCAGCTGGGGGCCTCTTACAGATTCAGTGGAGTCTCACCATCCCACTAAACACCCCTCAGGATTTTCCTAAGCCAGATTTCCTCCGTGCCAGCAGCACCCTCCACACACGCCCGACTTGGCAGCCCAAGCACGACCCAAGCCCAGCAGGGATTAAAGCTCCCAGCATCCAACCCCTCCCAGGAAAACATCCTTGAAGAAAGCAACCTGGAATACTTCAGGAATGGAATTTGTCAGTGCCAAGCTCCCCCTCTTCCATGGGTGCTGCCTCCTTATCATGCATCTGGTTTGCTGGAGTTTGTGTTTTTCCAAAGGCTCTTCAGTGGGATGTTCCAGGAAAATCCTGCCAGCACCCAAGCTGGAGAGAAGTGAATCATAAAAATCTCAAAGGCCAATTAAAACCCCTCATATTTTAAACAATGCTGATGATTTTTAAGCTTGTGCTTCCAGGCTGTAAGTTGAAAATAGCTGGGG